GTATAGGTTAATGTAATCTAAAACGGCAAGTAAGAAGTTTAAATAAAATTCTACCCTTTTAAATTGTCTAGCATTGGCTAGCACTATTTCAAAAGTCAAGATGCCAAATGGTAAGTAGGAAAACTCCAATTGGAAAGAGATAGTGAGTTTTGTGAGAAGATGGTAGTCAATACCTTGATTTCTTTAATGGCTTTGAAACATATATGCATGACATTGTAATAACTGAATTGGAAGACACTGAATCAAGTTAACTATGAAGACAGTAATTATGTCAAATGTTATACAGTCAATAAATGGTTTTGATAGCTCAAAATATGTATGAGTAATTAAGGTGTTTCTTCCAATTTTACCTACTCAAGTGTAAACCCCCGTCTCAAATAGGACTCTTGAGTCTTTTTTGAGACTGGAGTTTACACTTATATAAACACCAGAGATAAGTACATTTTAAAAGTAAAATCCCAGGATTTAATCAAGGAAATATAATAATTATAAAAGTATATTAATTTTGTTTTTTAATTTCTTCACTAAAAAAAATATATAACAAAAATTGTTCAAAATTACACTTTTACAAAACAGACATCAAAGAGTGATTACATAAAGTTTATTAATGCTTCAATCCATTAATGACAGTTTTAATCACAATTTAAATTTTAAACAACTTCTACATAAATCCTTTTAAGATTAAATATCTTTTAATGTCTTAAACACTTTCAGGTTTGTTCAGTTCTGCCTTCAGAAATAACTTGATTGAAAGAACAAAAAGCAATTAAATTTCAAAAATTATTATTTTTATTCTCAATTTATTTAGTACAAGATTTTTATCTCGATGAGGATAACAGAACAATACAACTTATGAAGACAACTATATTACTAGAATCAGTGGAGTTCAAGATTTATTTAGGCTCCACTGAATCTTATTTCTTATGGAATTGTACAATTTGCTTAAAATACAAATACATTAAATATGTAATATATGAAAATTTATATCAATTAAAATATATATGTATAAAAATATTAATCATTGACCAAACTGTGATGGACTGGTGCCATAATAAAAATGAATAGATGAGAAAGTAATAATAGTTTAAAAAAAATAATAATAATAAGAAAACGTATACACATCTTGTAAAATTACAAAAAATAAATATTATGCAAAGAAGTAAGCAACAGGTTATCACAGTTGTCATCACCAGTTAGAATACCAAAGAAAAAGGAATCCAGAGTATTTTATAACACAGCAGCTCCTTCTGTAATAAAATGTTAAGAACAAAATTTATAAAAATTTCAAATAAAAGAAAATGTATGCAACAGTTTACAGTTTACACAGCAGCTCCTTCTGTAATAAAATGTTAAGAACAAAATTTATAAAAATTTCAAATAAAAGAAAATGTATGCAACAGTTTACAGTTTACACAGCAGCTCCTTCTGTAATAAAATGTTAAGAACAAAATTTATAAAAATTTCAAATAAAAGAAAATGTATGCAACAGTTTACAGTTTACACAGCAGCTCCTTCTGTAATAAAATGTTAAGAACAAAATTTATAAAAATTTCAAATAAAAGAAAATGTATGCAACAGTTTACAGAA